GGACGCTACAGAAATATATTTTGTTATCTAAGTTTCTCGCACGCTTAATAGTAAACAATGACGATCCGAAAAATCAAAACAATAGACTTTGGGAGATTGACCTGATTTCGGATAACGAAGAAGATAATATTATATTTTCACGTGGTTGTGTTAATTTATATTTTAAATATCTGAAGGACAATATTTTTATGGAACCTACACTACCTATCTTGGGGTCAACATCAATCATCGACTTACTTGGTCAGCACACATAAAAAATGAAATTCGATCACTCAATGACCGTCTTCACCTTCTTTGGCAGCCACTCTTGACTTCAACAATTGATGAAAAAAGTAACTACTAAACAACTACTGAATAAACTACTTCTTAGACCCATTTGGTCCTTCGACATAAGGCTACGGGAATCAGTCAAAATTCCTAACACTAACCACATACAACGATTTCGATCCAAAGTCCTTCTCATTATATCAAAAGCCCTATTCTACGTTTCTAATAATACATTTCACTCTGACTTCAAAATACTTACTGTCACTTAATTAGCAAAGCTCTACTATAAGCGATTCAATAGCAAACTAACTACCCAAACAACTATCCAAGGAAATCCCAAAATAGGCTAAAAAGATAGTGGTTTTATGACCTGCTAATTAAAAAGAAAATTATATATAAACCACTTTCAGTTCTGACTATTATTATTACTTCATGATCACTATTTGATTATTGTATTATTATTATTAGTTTATTGGTATCGCTGTTTTATTAATTAATATTCAAGTTGAAGACCACCGGGAGGCTCTTCTCTCTATATTTTTTTGCTGTGTTATTATTTATTATTTATATCACTTATTGTTCTAATCCAATCAGGTAGCAGTATAGCATAATAAAGAATTTAAAAAAAAAAATATTCCCATGGTTTAAATTTATTAAAAATGTATAAAAACAAACAAATCAATACAATTCATAATAATTTTATTCACCAAGTTTGATTCCACCAGTTATTGTAGTATATGCTTATGTCATGCATAATCTAACCTTATTAGATTTTAACATTAGAATACTTATTTTGAGTAAACGTACGTTCATAAATGGTAAGGTTTCTCTGATTTACATTACACACTTATATCACAATAACCGATTCTTAAACTGTGATAAATAATTTGAAGAAAAATTTCACTCATTCATATCAAATCACTTATAAAATATATACAGTCAAACATTGTAGTTATATGGAGTAAAACGGAAAAATCATTCTTTTCTTCCAACCAATATTTGTTGCTATTATTATAGACAATAACGAGCACAATGTTTTCTACCATTTACTAGAAAAGCAACAGTAACAGGTCATTCAACAGTTTTACTATTTCATAGTTGAACATCACTGATGTGTATCAAGAACTTTGACTACCCCAATGTTATCAAATTTAAAATTACTGTCAAAGAAGGCGTTACTGAAAAGAATGAAGAAAGTAACTTACTTTTGAAGTTGTGTTAAAAGCGAAGAAATAATTATACAGATGTGTAAATAAATTAATTATCCAGACATTTTAATTACAACAGAAATATACGGACGAAAAATCACAACTAATGTAATTTTAAAACACTCGTTAAAGAATGAAACCACAAAATCCATAAACTTTGTACACATGGAATATTGTTCAAACATATTTAAAACATTATTACATTATTATTTTATTAAATGTTTATTAATTTAATAATTACTTGTTTTTAATTTATTTTCAATTTGTAATTATGTATATATCTAAGTCTTAAAAAGTTAAAACAGAATGAAGCGTATTTGATAAGGAGTGTACACATATTACAAACATACTCATTTAATTTACAGAGAATAAATACTTTTTATCAATCAAAATATTATATAAATAAATAAGTAAAATAAATAGATTTAGTAAATAGTTTTTTTTTTAATTGTATTATTACTAACTGTAAAATTGGGGAGAGGCAATATTGGTTTTTTTAAAGTATTTTTTATTTCAAAAAATTCTACGTTGATAGTGCTCCACAAGTTAATACTGTAGTTTCTTATAGATTAAGTATTTTACATTATTTCAGTATTTGTAGAGAGAAAATCAGTGTTATTTATTAATAGGATTTTTTTTACAACTTTTGCATTGTTTTTATATTAATTTATAAGTTTTATGGTTTGTTTTCACTAAAGTAGTCAGTTGAATACTTTTTATTACTGTTTTGTGTGATTTTTCAGATTGGAGTAGAGATATGTGGTGTTTGGAATTGATGCCTTATTTAGATAGTTTATTAATGTTCTATAATTATCAGAGGTGAAAATTGGATTTATAAATGAGACATGAGTTTCAAGTTGACTTGCAATTAAAACGGTTTGGGCCAAACACCTTCTTGCAGTCGTTTAGCAGTCGGATAAAATTCAGTACTCCTTTCATTAAAATATTATGCAGAGGTAGAATAGGTACTATTTAGAGTATATGTAGATTTATAGGTAGGTATATCATAGTTAGTGGCGATACTAAATTCAGTATTGACTGTGAAAAGAGCAGCGTAGTAGTTGTAAATTACAAATTAATTATATTTTTGAATTTACTTTAAAACTATATAAACATTTTGTTAAAATTTATTACAATCTTAAAATAATGCTTAAATATAATAGGCCAGGAGCCTTACGCAGCATACAAACTTGTGAACTGTTACTGGACAGTAGTTTTAGTAATGTTACAGTGACATTTATACTTAACAGATTTCCAATAACTAAACATTTTAGTCCTTTTTCAATAAAACATAAATAACTATTACGGTTTTGATGAAATTATACGGCATACGTTATATAGCAATATAGAAATACAAAAAAGCTATTTATTGGCATTGATGGCGTAGCATTTTGGACTTTGATAACGAATACGATTATTGATTAAATGTCCTTAATTATGATGAATAGTAAATTTGTTTGATTTAAATAACTTAACAATTGTATTAAACAAATATATCGCCACTAAGTTCTACAATCATAAAATCTCGTTGTAATTTAATTTAATTAATATCAATAAGTATTCTAAAAATATATTAGGAGTATTGAAGTTGAAAAAATCTGAAATACAAACATATGTGCATTTGTTCGGAAGAATGGTTTTGCAATGTACCGTTACTATTCAGAATAATCAAATTGAAAAATATTGATTTTCCCTACGTTTAGAGAAATATAAAATAGCTTACCTTTTTGTACAAATGACCTTTGTCTGGTTTTTGTCGAACATATTGCAAACCTTAGTGTGATCCCACAGAATCCTAATTTTTGTTACATGATGAAAAAAAAACGGAATGGGCAAACGCTCATTTCACACAGGGATGAGCGCCGTTGTACAGCGATCCATTGTTAATTATGAAACTGGAGTTCTAGGGGCGGGAGTACAGACCTTGTATTGGATTTGCAGGCAAACAACTGGGCCGAGGTTTGGTTCCGGAAATTCGGGACTATGATTAATTACGTGGCCGGATATAGTTGGATCGTGTTCACCTGGGCTTGATGTCCATTTACTGTGCGTGTTCTCCAATACAAAACACAATGAATACCTTCATTCGTATATGATCAGGATTTAGGATCGTCACTGCGCTAACCAGCTGGTCCCTGTCCACCTAACGACCCTGTTAACTTACGATGGTCTGTGTCATATATTATAATGATAACTTATCATTATCCCCGTTCAAACGTCACTTCCAGCACAAATTGTACCTTATAATTACGTGTACGTTTTCAAGTCTAGATAAATACAGAGTCTAAAATGTCATGTACCTACCTTACTGTATAATTTCAATTTTCAACAACAAAGTGACAAGAGGTAGTTTATACGATTACGAACAAAATTACACAAGTTAGATTCATCTACACCCTTTATACTTCTATTAAACAGATAAAACTTTTATTTTTGTTAGAATCTTAGCAATAATATGTAGTTAGGTTAGGTTTGGTTGTATTGGCATAGGTATTAATTATTATATTATCATATTGGATATGCAGTGTTGTAAATTGATTTGAATGACATTAATTTAATAGAACACAAGAAGCATGAACTTTAGAAACAGTTTTGAAATATATATATTTATATAACACAACGATGGTTTACAAATTAAAATAATAAAATTATAATAGTGTTGTACACTCATTCGAATATAGACACCTGTTATATGTTTTATTGAAGAGTATTAGTATTTTTTATTTAATAGTTAATATAATTTTCATAGAAATTGTCCAACTCTCTATTAAGCTCAATTGCTCAAAAAAAAATTAATATACTATCGATTTTATAGTATTCAGAAGTACTTTCCCAATTTGCTTATAATTTATTCATCGAATCGAAGGTAAAAATTATGGTATACGATCTTGTACATAATTTTTCAATACGAAGGTAAACATTTGTCTTTCATTAACTTTTGAATAATTAACTTTATCCGCATAAATGACCTTTACTTTTGAATAATAACACAGAATTATAATATCTGCTTACACGCTATTATTATAATTTTCAAATATAGCGATAAATGTCTGTTGTGATATATTTTTTTTTCCATTAATCAAATAATTTAAACTAAATAAGTAATAAATTCGAAAAAAAATTTCATAACATAATACACGTATCTTAACATTTTCATTGAAGATTCCAATGGCAGTTTATTGTGAACTTTTTTATATAAATCGCTTGTGAAAATATTCATACAAATAATATTTAAATTTTGTACTGTATTATTTAAAATGTCTTAGCAATAGCCAATAACTGATAAGTTTCTGTTTTCGTAATGCATCAGCTCACAGCATAGTGTTATAAAACTTAGTTTATTCATTTTAAATGGAATTAGAGTTTTTAATAATATTACTAGATAAATGTACACCAGATTCAATAAAAATACTAGGTTTATAGTTTAAATTAAGATTTGCGCAGAAACAATTCATTTTAAGTATAGTGATTTATTTATAAGTAGACGAAGATAAATATATAGAATAATATTATAATATGACTCACCGTCCGATTCCCTAGATTTCTCACTCTGCAGTTCAAATAGGCAGTGTGGCCGACTAGTGCAGTGACGTTTTTTGAAGCAAGTTTGTCAAAATAAGGACCCCTTATGGACGTAGCTTCAATTAAAGGTGAAATCGTTTCATCTGGTATTTTATGATCAATGGATCCTGATACCAAGTCTAAAATATAAAAAACCATTAGTACATATTTTAAACAAAATAATATATATTATATTTATTTAGTATTATAACAACATAATGATGTTAAATTCGAAAACTTAGAATTCTTAAATTTTATTTTTTAATCTTAAATAAATTTCAAATCTTATAGACACCCAAAATATTTCTTAAGCAAAAACATTTCAATTTTCATAAATTTGTTTTTACAATAACCTCTTTAATATGCACTGTTTGATAACTCAGGAAGACCAGAAACTAATAAACTACAAGCGGAGTAAATGCATATTATTATAAAGTATAGTGAGGTATTTTGTATAAACACGACGTATAGAAAAAAGTAAAGACAATAACCGTTTTATAGTCTAATCATTCTTGTATCAAATTTATACTAGGAAAAAGAACTTCAAAAGACTTAATTCTTCCGGATTGGTGATGTCATTTGTTTCGTATAATAATAAAACCATTCAGAATATATTCTTTTGATCCTCTGGCTTTAAAATGGTCCATCTTCTAGTATCTTAAATAGCAAAAAAAAGAAAGCTTTTTAAACAAGGTGTATCTAGTCAATCGTTGTACATATCTTTTATGCACATGAAACTTTTATTTTCCTATATGTTTTTTTTACAAAACCTTTGTGGTGTTTTACATAATATAATAATATGTGACATATTTCATACAAACTTTTGGACGATGGTTATTTTTTTTACAAAAGTAAGTACCCATCGATTTCAAGATGTTTCATTTCTCTAATATGTTTAGAAAATATTATTGGGAAATGAAATCTTACACTCAGAAAGTAATTTAAAGTTTATAATATTATCTGGGAACATATGACTTTGTTAACTTTTTCTGTCCCATGAATTAATATTTTAATGTTAGTTATAACGTATGACTATTATTATAAAAAAAAAAACACCCGGGGAACTCACCTTTCCTCATAGTTTAGAATTTTTCTAAATTATTTAAAAAAATTGAACCGTTTTCATAGAATGAAAGTTTATGAAAACATTTTTTAGTTTACTACAAAAAATATTTTTTGATTTAGGACAACAAATCAACTCACAACAATTATAATAAACATAATAAACATATTATAATTATTTAATAAATTACTTATATTATATACAAATTATTGATTTATATTTATTATCATCAAAATATTTTTTTATTCCTACTTCTTATCATATTATATACTATTTATACATGTATAATACAGCACCACTAACCAACAATTGCAACACCAGGGGCCCAAGCCACCTGTATAGTCAAGTCCTTAAGACTTTATAGCTATAACTACACTATAATTTCACAATTTAGAATAACGCCCTGAAGGAAATAATACAATGTTACACAGTGATGTATGTTATTAAAAAATGGATCAATGAAGCGATGAAAAAATGAATGTTCATTGTCATTGTACAGTAGCTCATAGAATATATACGTCAGCTTTTATTAAAAAAAAACTTGATTGTTTATAACATTTTCAATATAGAAAGGGCGATACACCTTAATTTCCCATTTTCATATTAAAAGAGCATAGAAAACAAGGAATGAAATGAGCAGAGAGTTAAATTTCAACAATGTAAAATACTTACAAAATTAAAACGTTCTATATTTTCTATTCATTTTTAATTCTACAATAGTTAAGACACATTTAATTCTCCAGACATATTCACAAAAATTCATTAAAATGTGTTAAATGTCTTGTGATGATGTAATGTAGTTTTTGTTTTCATACTTCTACAATAATCGAGTATGCATAATGCATATTATTATACTGTGCTGAAAAGGGAACAATATTATATTCTACGCACTCGCTATAATTTGAATAAAATATCATTTTATTTTTACATTACGTTGATTGATACAAAAATGAATATTTACAATTTAAACTAGGTACTAGAAATTGATAATCAAACTAATTACTACTGGAGATATCCTAATAATAATAATTATAAAAAATTACAATGTTCGTCACTCAATAAATTAGGATGTATGATAGTCCAAATCATAATAATTAATATACAAGTACAAATTACGTCATATGACTAATAATCGCAACTTTTAAACTAAAAATTATATTTAAAAAAAACTGTAACTTGAAGTGTAATGAGTGTAAAAATGCAAGTAAAAAACATTTCTCTGCAGTTTTTACATGTTTATTATCGTCAAGCTTTTTATCACAAGTTAAAAGTCTTATAAGTCATAAAATTAATATTTTCAATCATTAAAGTTTGTTGTTAATTTTTTTTTAATTTTTAATTAGTTAGAGTAGTTTTATATAATAGAATTTATAGAAATTTCCTGATTTCTGAGACAATATTATATCTGAGAAATGTAGTTTACACAGCAATACATCCAATTTAAAATGTATTAATTAATAAGTTATTATTAAAATACGCAAGTAGAATGGTAAGTTGTAAAATTTAAAAGTTGCAGAATTTGTTTGTTTATCGAAATTCCAACTTTAATAATTAAGTAATAACAATTAGAAATTATAACAATGTTAAGTACAAGGAAAAAAAATAACTCTACAACAGTTGAATTATATTTTAATCATGATAAATAACTATATTTATGTCACTGTTGCATATTTCATTTAAGTATGAAATTTAATATACAATTATCTATTATTATAATATACCAGATACCTGCAGATACCTTTAATGTGATGACGAGTGTGTGAGTGTGTGTATGTTTGTAGTATTGGCACTGTGACTACACCTAAGATAGGGTTTATTTTTAATATTCTCACATTATAACGTGATTAGTTATGCATTGGACGTGTATTGTATGGTTGTCATCAATTATAATAATAATAATAATACATCCGATGTGTGCATTAAACGTGAGGTTATATCGTATATTGCCGTCCAATGTTCAAAGTTAACATCTTAATTTTAATCTTATCAGTGTTAAATAAGTTTGGTCACGTAAAACGAATTTCCATCGTGCAAGTTGGTGTTCCGGGGCGTGTGCCAAGCCCAAGTGAAGTGGTTCGTCTAATAACATACCTAATTTACTGTTTAAGTACCACATATATACACACCATACGGTGATATAAATAATACGTATAACAAGCACCGCACATACGCACCATATTATTGTTATTATTAAATAGTACAATGCGAGCTTTCGTGTAACATATGTAATTGATTTAATGAACGACATTTACCCAGTACACAAGCAGGGTTTTACGACTAAAAACAATATAAAAAAATATACATATATATGAGTAAACGAAATACGAGCAACCTTGGAGCCGATTAAACAGAATCGGTTTGGTTATTAACAAAAATAAAAAAAACAAAAAAACAAACCACTGGCTGGGCAGGGATGATTTTAACTATCGACCTTTTTTTTCTGTCTAAAAAATATATATATATATATTCATTTGACGAATATGATATTATTATTGACGGTGATCCGATCGATTTATCGTAATGAATATAAAACCTTTCATGTACATATAGCGTATCGTGGAGCGTCGGCGAACGGGGTACGAGATAAAGAGGACGCGGCGAGGTTGAAATATCGCGCGGCCGAGAATAGAGAAACCATCTATCAACTGGTGTGTGCCACCCCGCCTAGCTGGCTGCAGTTGCCATCACATCATCGTCGTCACCCGGCCGAATCGATGTCCGTGAAACGATATCAATCACGGGCTTTTCATTTTTTTTTTCTCGTCCGTCTCTCCGCCGCCGCCGACTGTCCCACCGCAGCCGTCTGCCATTGTCAGATTTTCGAATGGAAACGATATTTTTATTATTTTCATTCGGTCATTTGCCGCCGCCGCCGCCGCCACCGCCGCTTTATTGCGATATACGAAATAAGAATAAATGGCCGCCGGAGAAGAAAAAAAAAAACCTATATATTTTATACACACGTAATACATTATTATACTCGAATGTGTGTGTGCGTGTGTGAGCGTGTGAGCGTGTGGGTGTGCGTGAGTGTTATATGTCCGACGGTTTGCGATATAAGAAACCCTAGACGGTATTTAGAATCCAACAGAGGGCGGGGAAGTGGCCGTGCATGCAATACGGTCGCGACGAACAAAATAATTGCTACGCGTTTGCAGCACACTAGTCGTATATTCTGCATGCTCGCGACTATAATAGTGTGCTTTTTAGAGTTATGGCGATAACTCGCCGTCTCGATTCGCGTACATGTGTGTAAGTGTGTGTGTGTGTGTGTGTGTGTGTGTGTGTATTACATGCATACACACGTATAGGTATATAGACGTTACCGTGCCCTTATCTAAAACGACCTAGTTTCTCCGGCCTTTGTGAAACGTAAAACAACGGTAAACTGTGTAGATAACGTGGTGATATTCTATATTGCTTAAACGCTAAAATGTAAACATTCAAATAACGAACTCGTTGTGCAGTATTAGACTGTACTCCTCTGCAGTCGGGTATTAGTGAGTGCCTCTCAGGAAGTTCGGAAAACAATGAACGGGACCCAGGAGGGAAAGAATTTACCGGATCAGTTTCTCTTGAATATAAATTTATGGTTGAACAAATAAATAATTATAACGACTGCTGAGGTCGCTGTGGAAGTCATTATAAAATCGAATTTATGAAATGATAAATTAAAAAAATTTCATTGTTACTGTGGTGTACCTACCTTAGTTATATAATGATATTAGAAAAAGAAAAAAACTGTATTGCTTAGTTGACTGCAGGACTACATATACATACAAGTAGGCAGGGTGGTATGATTAAAAAATAAAATAATAATTTGACGTAGTTATTAAATCTGGTAGGTGTTCCGTGGTATTATTATAATTTCACTGACGCAGCGAGGATAATATTAATAGAGTTGTGGTCGGATCCATATAATTCTATATTATATTATAGTTCCAGGCTAATACGCTATGTGATCTTTATCCGGATACAACAGACTCGAAACTAAATCCATACACTAATGCAGTAATACTATTAGAGTTGTTAATACCAAAATATTTTAATTTTCGATTTAATCTAATGTAATATCAA